AATCCAGCCCTACGGGTATTTAATTTTCTCCTAACAGGAAAGCAGACAGGACAATTAAATGTAGACATTTTTCTCATGTTTCTGGAAATAATAACCCCATCAATATCACTTAACCACATCACTTCAAAGCCCCTGAAGGCAGGACAAGAAGCAACGGACGGAAACTAATCAAGGAGAGAAGCAACCTAGAACTAAGGAGGAATTTCCTGACAGTGAGAACAATTAACCAGTGGAACCACCTGCCTCCAGAAGCTTTGAATGCTCCAACACTGGAGGTTTTTAAGGAGAGACTGGACAACCATTTGTCTGGAATGGCATAGGGTTTCCTGCCTGAGCAGGGGGTTGGACTAGATGACCTCCAAGGTCCCTTCGAATTCTGTTATTCTGTTATTTAGTGGAATGGCTTGCCTTCAGAAGCGGTGGATGCTCCAACACTGGAAGTTTTTAAGAAGAGACTGGACAGCCGTTTGTCCGGAATGGCATAGGGTTTCCTGCCTGAGCAGGGGGTTGGACTAGATGATCTCCAAGGTCCCTTCCAACTTTATTATTATTATTATTATTATTATTATTATTATTATTATTATTATTATTATTATTATTATTATTATTATTATATAAAGCTTCTTTTCTAATTGCCTCGTCACAGATCCTGTTTGCAGAATTCTTATTTAAATTTGTTTCCCCCACCATATTCAAAGCATTCCTACCGGTTTAAGATTTTCTCGAAATGAGTTACACTTAAGTATCCCCTGCCCGGCCGGCCTCGCCTGTTTTCATGCCTCTGTGCAAAATTAAGGGCTCCGCTGGGCAGTGGACAGTTGGCTTTTATTGATTGTAAACCTCACCGCTGGATGTTTGGCAGCCGGTCTATAGCTGGCGAATTAACTCGCCGAGGTTGGCAAATCAATTGCAGGAACAGGGGGCAGTTAACCTACAATTGCCATTAGGAGTCCCGCTGCGGCCTTGGCACTGTCCAGCCCTCTTCTGGCATTCGGCTCGCGCACGGGGGTGTCAGGAAGCGTCTGATGTGTGGACTTCAACTCCCAGAATTCCGTCTGATGTGTGGACTTCAACTCCCAGAATTCCCCAGCCAAATCCTGAACGGTAGGGCTGGAAAGAACCACAGAGATCGTACTAGTTCAAGGGTATGCAACCTTGGCTCTTTTATGACTCGTGGACTTCAACTCCCAGAATTCCTGAGCCAGCATGGGGGAAACTTTGGCCGCTTCGTGACTCGTGGACTTCAACTCCCAGAATTCCGCAGCCAGCATGGGGGAACTATGGCCCCTTCATGACTCGTGGACTTCAACTCCCAGAATTCCTGAGCCAGCATGGGGGAACTATGGCCCCTTCATGACTGGTGGACTTCAACTCCCAGAATTCCTGAGCCAGCATGAGAGAAACTTTGGCCCCTTCATGACTGGTGGAATTCAACTCCCAGAATTCCTGAGCCAGCATGGGAAAACTATGGCCCCTTCATGACTTGTGGACTTCGACTCCCAGAATTCCTCAGCCAGCAAGGGGGAACTATGACCTCTTTATGACTCGTTGACTTCAACTCCCAGAATTCCTGAACCAGCATGGGGGAACTATGGCCCCTTCATGACT